AAAAAGAGATTTTTTCACAAAAAAAAAAAAAAAAAAAAAAAAAACTTCTAATATATGTAATTTTTATTTTCAAACGCGACCTCACAATTACATGATCTATCACATCAAGACGGCCATCACTCAATGAAAAAATATAAAGTGTGGTGTTCCCACCTCTGGACCTTACAGGATGCCACATCATCCCAAGTTCACATGCGAGGTGACATGGTCATGTGAGTACTTGTGCGTACATGCAGACAATCACATGTAAAATTTTTTTACTAATCAACTCGACATGCAATACAATTTTTTTTCATAACAAAATATAAACAAAAAAAAAAGAAAAATAAAATAAAAAACAAAATTGATCTCAAATATTTTGCAGGGATGTCTAACATTATGCATGAATATATATATATGCATGAACATAGCCCTGCTTAATCCTACATTTTTTATATTCTGATTAAAATTTTATCACAATGAATATCAAAATTATAAAATTTAATTTGAGTGCATATAATATAAATTTGTAATTGACTATTCACATAATGTATAAATTTTAAAATAATTTGAATAAATTTAACATTTATTTTAACTAGATTTTAATCAGAATTTCATCACATAACTCTTAGGAAATTTACATAGCAAGTACTTAATTCTCATGTATTTACATATCTAAGTCCTAAATTTTCATTTATACAAACACAACAATTCAAATTTTATATAAGAAGTGATAAAATTATTATTTTTATTGTGATATTTAAAGTTTGAATGAGGCACGACATATGTAAACACATACAAATTCTGTGCTATGTATAGATGTTTCCATGCACATGCCCGTGACCTCGTCAATTTAGAGAATGATCATCCCTTCCATCCCAGTTCCCAGCAATCCACTGCAAGTCCTGCTGCCGCCCCACATCAAAAGCATCACCTTCCGGCACCTGCACATGCCCAACAAACAACGCCACGTGGCCCAAAAGCTTATCCTTGCGCGAGAAAGTCGTGCCGCACGAGCAGCGCCATCTCGGGTTTCCACAATGCTTCTCATGCGTCCTCAGATCCGAAAGCACCGAAAACTCCTTGCTCCCGCACCGGCTGCACACGTAAAGCTTCGGGCAATGAGTTCTCTTATAATGATTTTTCGCGCACGCCACCGATTTAAGCGGCTGGAACTTCTCGTGCTTCCAATTCCACCTACACCCTTCCTGCGGGCACGAGTACTTGTTCTTACCCGCAGCACTCGCGCTCTGTTCCCCTCGATGCGAAATCCCTCCTCCTCCTCCTTTGGTCAGCGCTTCCCTCGTCTTATACGCATCTCCGTGCGCCCGCATGTGCATTCTCAAGTTCGCGTCGCGCCGGAACCCCTTCCCGCACACGTGGCAGTAGTGCGTGTATTTGGCTAACAGCGCGCCCGCGTCAATCTCGACCACGTCGTGTCCCGGCTGCGGAGCGCGCGCGCTGCGGCAATTGTCATGAGTTTGTGGAGCGGGTGCGGCGGGGGAACAGAACGCCAGCTGCTGGAGAGTTGAGAGAATTGCAGACGCGACGGAGATCATGTCCTGGATGACGGCGTTGGCGTCGGGGGAGGTAAGGCTGCCGATGAGGAATTGAAGTTGATGGATTTTGTCGTGGAGGATGGAGAGATCGAAGTAGAGGGATTGGATGTGGATGAGGGGGTCGAAGGCGACCATTGCGGGAGAGGAGAAGAAGTCTGCTTCCATAATTGGATTGATGGGACAGAGATTGATGGCATCGAGTTTGGGAGGTATATAATGGGAGTCAACGAAGATGGGTTGAGGCCATCCCTGTTTGGGCCTTCCTCATATAGTACCATATTGAGGAAAGGGTGGGCGGTTATTTATACGGCGGGGGAGTGATTGCCAGCGATGCGAAGGGGATGATGTAAATCGAGTTGTAGGAATTTTAATATGTTATCTGCGTGTGAGGATTTAGAGGGGGGGCGTGGTCAACATTTGTGATGTAAGATTATGGGGAAATTGCATGCATGACGTTCACATTTTATATATTTATAAAACTAACAGGCATACTAGTTATGGGTTATTTGGCCTTCTAGCAACAACAATCTACCCAGCTTGTTCTTTATAGGAACTTCTAGCACGAATTTCAAAGCAATCAGGTGGCTAAGGACAATGATTGGGAAACTAGAGAAACTGGCCGAGGAAGCATGATCTGAACAAGTCGTTCGATGACTGACCACTATTAGGTCGGCAGACCCACGTTATCAAGGGATTACATCGACGAACCGCACTAAAGGTCCCAACTACGCAAGCTTATTTCATGGGCGCTCGATCACAACTAGTCGATCGACCGGCTTTACCTCGACAGAAGTGCTCGTCGCGCAACAACTAATTACCGTTGTATTAAATTTAAATAGCAACATGAATCTTGTATTAAATTAGCGCAATACCTGCATTAAGGGTGGTTTCCATAATCACTCTCTCCTTTCGTTAATTAAGAGCGGTTAGAGCGGTTTTTATAATCATTTCCTCCTTTTTGTAATTGTACAAAAAGGCGCCCTATAAATAGGAGGACAAAAATGAATAAAGGGACCTTTTCGCCTCACTCTTCTCTCGAAAGAATTTTATATGGTCTACTCTCCCTCATTCACCTTCTCTCGACACTAACTCTCGAGGTGTGTTTCATCTGAAGAACAATTTAAACTTCAACATCCTAAAATGTGATGTGGTGAGTTTTGACATGCCCCATACGAGAAGCAGAGCCAACTACGAAGGAGAAGCCATGTAGAGGAACGGAGTGCCCATGAAATTCAATAGATAAAAGGTGGGGCGAGACATCCACGAAGTGGTCCAGGTGTTATGAGCGCAGATAATTGACTTGTTCTAGGCCCTCTAAGTAGTCATATCTCAGAGGAACATTCAAACACCAATCTCAGAAGGAGACTATCGAGGAACGTGCCCTCAAAAGGTCCTCGTAAAGATCTACCTGCATCTAACGGTCAGTTTGGTGATCGATCAACCGAAGAGCTGGGGGACTCCCAACCTGCCGACAGTGCAGCATCTACGCCGATGATCAAACTCCAGATGGATTAAGTAAGAGTGCCCGCCCTATTAACTACGGGTGAGGCCATCTCTCGACGAATCCTAGAAACTATGTCCTCAGTGAAGCCAAGGATTCCCTATATGGATCCTTATAAGGAGAAGAGTGACCAATAATACCATGTGGCTTCCTTCGAATCGTCGATTGGAGTTATACAGATCGATGATGTTATGAAGTGTCGACTCTTCCTCACCACGCTAAAGGAGGTCGCGCTTCAATATTTCAATAGCCTGTTGTATGGGATCACCCCATCCTTCTATGAATTCAGAAAATTCTTCTTAGCGAACTTTGTCGACGTTCAGAAGCCAAGGAGAGAACGAAAGCATACAGGCTGACATCACTCACTTCCAGAATGAAATGTTGGAGGCAAGAAACTTGGAGCCTCTCATCGCTCGGACCCCCCTGAAGCAGGGAATCCTCAACCAACAATTCATGTATGTCCTGAACTTGCTCAAACTAAGATCTTTCATCGAAGTTTTTAAACTAGCCAACGACCATATCACCGTTAATGAGGTCCTTATGGGTTCATCAGGAACCAAAGTGGAGTCATCCAACTGGTAGACGTAAAGACAAAATGACCGGAATAATGAGAAAAGGTAGAGGAGTTGTCGGGGCCCTGATAGTTGATGGAACGACAACCCCTGGTCCCCGGATGATCAAGGGAATAACCGCAGCGGCAAGGGTCAGAGGCATCACACTAATCGACGGTCGACCTACTACAATGAGCTACTGCACGTATACCAGGAAATGTGAGATTTGACACCCCTGTATGTATCAATGATCAAGCTAGTCTAAGCCATCCAAAATAATAACTACTTCAAAAAGGGCCCTCCATTGAAAACTACACTTGTCCTTCACAACTCTGACAAATACTACGCTTATCACCTAGACCATGGGCACGACACAAAGTGTAACCATCTAAGGAATTTGGCGGAGGAACTCATTAAGGCCAGAAAATTGAAGGAATTTATCATAATCAATGGGCACACATGGTGACATGGGAAGACTCCAACAGAGGAGCTCACAGAAAGACTCATCCGAGCAGGCAAGATCAACCTGGTTGAGGTCATCCCAGATATCTTTGAAGGAAGCAGAGATTCATCCCGACAGTCCACCCTAAAGAAGCATCGATCGGGGGAGTTTTGCTCTCTTTTACCCCTTATTCTCGTACTCAACCCTCAATCATTTTTACAGATGTGAATCTCCCACCAAAAGGAAACCCATATAATGATGTTATCCTCCTTACAACACTCATGAACAACTACTTGTTGGGTGGCATCCTTGTTAACACTTGAAGTTCCGTGAAAGTCCTATTTAAAACAATGTTCGACAAGATGGGACTCAAAACCGACTAGTTGGCAACGCCGGCTGGTCCATTTTTTGGTTTTTCGAACAAGAAAATAGAGGTCCTAGGCGTAATCACTCTTATCGTCTTGTGGAGTGAGCAAGAGAAGCAGTTCACCAGCACAAAAAAAATTTTTGTAATGGAATCCCGACCAACATACAACACAATATCTGACTGACCATTGTTGAACAATTACCAAGCAGTGACTTCAAATTACCATGTGGCCATTAAATTTCCTAGAGATGGAGAAATAATCACTATTTGAGGGAGCCTGGAGCAGTCAAGGAGCCGCTACCTTTGAGCGGTCACCAGTGTCGACCACATGTCGCTTGACATACAAATCTGGAGGGAAGGGGTCTCGAGGCCAGTGAGACTGTCCTTAGAGTGCCCACGATCGACGGGGAAGAGCCTGCTAAGGTCTTTTTAATTAGTGATTATTTTGATGTAAGGCATAGGGACCTACTAATCTAGACTCTTCACGTGCAATGGGACACTTTCACCTAAACAGTCGCAGAGATTACAAAAGTTCCAATTGATGTCACATTCCACCAGCTCAACATCAGTTTGTTCTCTCAACCTATACAGTAAAAGCTTCGGTTGACAACTAGAACTATGGTTGAGCCAATCGCAACGGAGGTCCAGACGCTGAAGGAGGCGGAATACATTTGGAAGGTGCAGTATCCCACCTGGTTGTCGAATATGGTGATGGTTTGAAAGCCCAATAGAAAATGGAGAATGTGTGTCGACTTCACCAACCTCATCACTGCATATCCAAAAGACACATATCCATTGTGATGATATGAACCAGTCGTTTGACAATCAACCGCTCTATCAGGTAAGGAGACCCATGCTATCAAGGGATTCAATTGATGGACTGCGATTACGGTCCCAGCTACCCAAGCTCAATTGACCGACTTTGTCTATAGCCACAAAATCGTTCGCCCTGGATGACCAAACTAAATGCATTGATCTGCTAATGATCATTGTATAAATTTCAATGGCAACAGGAATGTTTTATTAAATTAGCAAATTAACTGCATTAAGAGTGGTTTCCACTATCTAGTTTCCATAATTGTTTCCTTCATTCTGTAATTGTACAAAAAGGCCTCCCATAAATAGGAGACCCAACCATGAATAAAGAGACTTTTCTACCTAACTCTTCTCCCTAAGGAATTCTATGTGCTCTACTCTCTCGAATTCTCCTTCTCTAGGCTCTAGCTCTTGAGGCGCATTTCATCTGAATGACAATTTAAGATTCAACAAGACCTAAGGTAAAGTATATATTAGTCTAAATTAAGTTGGATTATGCTTCTGTTCAATAGCAGCTTTTTCGGTTTCAAAATAATATTGATTTAGAAGTACCTGAAACGGGAATAAAAAAAATAAAAAATTTAAATTATAAGAGAAAAAAATTCGTCTTTATTGAGTGATTTCTAAAGGATCAATTCCATAGCTGCCGAGGGCTCTTAGATTACTTGCAATAGTCAAGCCCGACAAATAAGCGTATGAGAAGAATAAAGAGATGGAGGGAGAGAGATGGATTCCATATTTGGTCTACAATGCCCAATGAATAGTAATAAAAGATCTGGCCCTTTTATAATAAATGTTTCCCGAAGTTCTATCTTAACAAATGAAATGGAATTTCAACAATTATCTGGATGGGCTTGCAACGATCTATGAATGATTGTTTATCCTTAAGTCACCTTTTGTCTTGATCGGTTTTGCTTGATCAGCTCTGCTCGATCGGGCATTCCCAGATAGAATTGTTTCTAGCAGGATAATTATTCTTTATGTGGAGCGATTCTATCTAAAGATACTTGCGACTCTCACTCTTGCTTCAGGTTGACTCATATGCCAGGTAAACTTTCGTATCGGATTGGCATCTCCTAATGTGAGCCGAAGATCGAAGGTTCAAACATCCCTCTGATAAATCTCGGAATAGATCGGTCGATAGTGATCAATCGCCCTCCGACCACCGTTTGGTTCGGTCGGCCTAGCTCAATCAACTCGACAGGTCCCACAACTTCCTTGTAGAGGATCTCCATTCATTCTTGCCCTATCTTCTAGGTTGTTGGATCTCTGTCCGATCAGCACTAACATGTTTGTCATGTACACTGAGAATGCATCAACATTTATGTTAGGGATCGCAGTTAATAACATGGATTGTGAGAAATAACTCGGTAATTTATATATATATTCACGCATACTTTCTTTCTTGAATTTACAGAAGCCATAAATATTTCAACGTACACCTAACACAGCAGCAACTTTCGCTTCTACTAATTCCAGAATATTGAACGTAGTGCTGAAATCTTTCATAAATATATCTTCTAAATAAATATAAAAATTTGACTAACGTTCTGGACGCGGCATAATAGCTCTTTAAAATTGCAAA